CTCAAAAAAAAAATAAAAAATAAAAAAAAATAAAAATAAAAAAAAAAGTGTAGGGATTGCAGGTGTGCGGTGCCATGGCAGGCCGCCCTTGGCCCGCTTTGCAAGGCTTCTGCAGATCTGGATAGACAACTCTTGTCTCTTCCAGGTGCGGGGACCCAAGCACAGGCCCGCCACTCCTGACCCGTGCACGACACCGTCACCACCTGCAGTGCTGCCTGGATGCACTGGGCCACTACAAGCAGGCAGGAGACCTGGCCCTGGCTGCTGAGGCCCTGCGCATTGCCCGGCGGCACCTGACCCAGCTCACAGGCGGAGGGGGCAGTGAGGAGATCCTAGATGTCATCTTTCGGGACTTCTGCGTGGGCAAGTGAGGTGTATCTTGGGTCTAGCACCCCAGGCCCTGACCCAGCACACCACATGGCCAAGGGCCTTCTGGGGCCAATGTGGGTTCCCTTGGACACTGGGAGCTGGCATGTACAAGGAAAAGGTGAAGTCAGACTGCAAGATCTCAGATCTGCCTGCTTTGGGGCCTGATCTCACTAAAATTACCACCAGGCTGGCTTCTAGTTTAAGAGCGTCCTGCCTCAGCCTCCCAAATAGCTGGGCTCACAGGTGGGAGGCACAGCAGGGAAGGTCTTTTGGTTTCAGAGGTTTTGTGTTTGTTTTTGACTTTTTAGTGCTGGGGATGGAACTGAGTGTCTCCTTCCTGCTCAGCAAGGGCCCACTGAACCCATTTGCCAGCCTCGTAGTGCTTTCATTTGTTTTGAAAACAGAGGAACGTGACGATTCAAGTGGTGCCGCAGTGTTGCAGCACAGGGTCTCTGGGCCATCTCCGAGGTCCCAGCTGGACAGATGCATTTCCAGAACTGCTGAGGCCTTGGGTGCTTGTGTACCTACCAATCAAATAGTGGTTTTTTTGTTTTTTGTTTTTTTAGCTGGCTTAGGATTCCTTCAGGGCAGGTCTGGTAAGGCTGGAGGATCTGGGATTGAACCACAGCATCCTGATTGCTTTAAGTGGTCACTTAAACAACTGAGCTAATGGGCAGGCCCCCCAAATATGTGGTTTTGTTTCAGGGGTTTTCTATTTTGGAGACAGGGTGTCCCTGTGTAGCCCCAGCTGTCCTTTTTTTTTTTTTTTTTTTTGATGGAACCGGGGATTGAACTCAGATCCTTGAGTTTGCCAGTCAAGCGCTTATC